GCAAGTTCAAGGTGAAGTTGAAGACAATCAAAACAAGTCCATGAGAGCCAAAATATGACCTTGATTATATCCCTCCTGAATTCAGAGACCATTTGAAGAATAGATCTGATGCATTGAACACCAATGAGTGAAAACCTGACACTTTGTGGGATGACATCAAGAACATCATCCATGAAGAAAGCAAGAGGTCATTAAAAAGACAGGAAAGGAAGAAAAGACCAGAATGGATGTCAGAAGAGACTGTGAAACTTGCCCTTGAACGGAGAGTAGCTAAAGCAAATTGAAGAAATGACCAGATAAAAGAGCTAAATAGATTTCAAAGAGCAGCTTGAGAAGACAAAGTCAATTATTATAATGACATGTGCAAAGACATGGAGTTGGAAAGTCAAAAGGGAAGAACATGCTTGGCATTTCTCAAGCTGGAAGAACTGAAGAGGAAATTTAAGCCTTGAGTTGAAATATTGAAAGATCCTATTGGCAATATATTGAATTAGGCAGGAAACATAAAAAGAAGATGGAAGGATTAAGAACTCAGAAATAGATCCATTGACCTATGGTCAGCTGATCTTTGACAAAGGGCCTAAATCCATAAAATGGGAAGAGCATGTTTGTTTAATAAATGGTGCTGGCAAAACTGGAAATCCATTTGCAGAAAAATGGAACAAGATCTCTACCTCACACCATACACAAAAACTAACTCCAAATGGATCAAAGATTTAATGTGAAACCTAAAACTATAGAGTTCCTCAAGGAAAAATGAGGGGCAAATATATGGCATAGGAGCTCTGGTAGCATAATGCCTAAGGCACTTGACTGCTAACCAGAAGCCTGATGGTTCAAACCCACCAGCCACTCCTCAGAAGGATGATGGGGCAATCTACTTTCTTAGTGATACTGCCTCAGAAACCCAAGGAGGGGTTGCTATGAGTCAGGTCCAACTTGATGGCACATAACAACAACAACAATAACAAACATATGGCATAAATAGACTATCAAGCATAACCCAAAATGCACAAACACCAGAAGAGAAACTAGATGAACAGGACCTTCTAAAAATTAAATTTTTATGTGCTTCCAAAGATTTCTCCAAAGGAGTCAAAAGAGAACCTACAATTTGGGAAAATATATTGGGCAATGATATCTGACAAGGGACTTATCTCTAGAATTTACAAAAAAACTACAACCCCTCAATAACAAAGAGACAAATAATCCAATTAAAAAATGGTCAGAAGACATAAATAGACACTTCACCAAGGAGGATATTCAGGCAGCCAATAAACATATGAAGAA